TGACCGCAGTTAAGTTAGCCTCATATTCGATATTCAATTTTACGGCTTTAGAATTAGGTGATCAGTGGTCATTGTTAACACACCACAGCACAGCACACAGTGCGCAACAACGAAATGTGTCCTCTGCATTTAACCCATATGTGACTTTCATGACATAGCAGGGGGCAGCTAATTCAGCGCCCGGGGAGCAGTGCTCGGGGGCGGTACCTTGCTCAGGGTACCTCAGTGGTGCCTTTCTTTCGATTACAAGTGCGCTTCCCTAACCATCAAGCCACCACTGCCAACAATAATACCATTTAACAGAAGATGGGGCGTTTTTAATTACAGAATCGTGATGTCCAGTACACAGACAACGATGCACACCGATTATTTTTGTGCTTCAAATGTTTCGTCCATGTGTGTGTCCATCCCTTCTCTCCTTTAGATCCCATTCCGTCAAACTGCTGATTCCGGTTCCGCATTTTCCATCTCACCACAAAAGCCGTGTCAAAACTGGATGGACTGGTTGTCATCGCCTCGTTCCCGTTTCCCGCCTCTCCAGCCCCGGATTATAAAAGACGCTTGAACACTAGAGATGGCAATTTCGAATCATCAAAACAATTTCGAAACATTCGAGACAAACAGTGTTTCGAAACGGTTCGAAAAGTTTCGAAACACTAGCTGTGCACAGCCTGCTGGCAAAAACCGGAACTGCAGCTATACAAAATACGGCAATACCTATTGCGGCAAGTGTCGAATGTCACGAAGCTCAAACTATCAAAAGTGTGCATAATACTACGGTGGCCGAATATAGGGCAAATCAAATTAACATTGCATAATACATATAAAACAAATCATCATATCATAAAACAATATTGCAAAAATAAACGCAAATGTACAATATGCAAAGTACTTTTACCAGTCCCAAAACAAATTTACAACATGCGAAACATTTTTACCAATTTACAAGCGGAGGGTCACAGGGAAATAAGGGTAGTTACGATACAGAGGAAATTTGTGCCGTGTCAGTCAAAGACTTTCGCCGGGTGAAGTAAACGGAGCGTGAGACGTGATGTTTTCTCCGTTTTATGGGAATTATTTCAGCCAAACACGCATGTAAGATGGGATACTCACTCGTGCAGTGTGAAAGGCTGTCATACTAAATCACATGGTACAAATAGCAGAAAGCTGGACCAGAACATGAGATTTTTTCGGTTTCCCACTTGGAAAAGAGGATATGAACAGCAGATAATGGAGGTAACGAAGAGGCGTCGCGTGGCCTGGGTCGCAGCAGTGAGACGGAAGATCACTTTCAACGCGATATATCCCTTCATGCGTGTTTGCTCTCGGCATTTTCATAAAGGCAACTAAGATGTTTTTTGTTTAAGTAATGTTACTGAATATGCATTTTTTGTCTTCTAAAGTTGATATTCGCAGCCTTTCACACTGCACGAGCGTCCCATCTTACCAAAGATAAAACCGGACGTAAACGCTCGCTCTTGCGTTTTATACAACCAAAATGGCGATTTGACCCACATTACACTGCGGCTAAAGCGAGTATGACGTCAGCGGACAAAGACCGATTGAGTGGACCTGATGGCTGGACCAAAAGCACAAGGTTGGACCACTTGGACGTTTGTTACATGCAGAAAGCTATACCCTGTGTAAATAGTTTTAATGGGTTGGATGTGTAATCAATGTAAAGTAATTTGATTTTAAAAATTAAGTTGTGATGTTAATATAACGTGCTTTAAATTAAATGTTTAAAATGAACGTATGCTGTTGTATCATGAAGTGTTACATGAATGTTTAAGTGAAACAAATAAGCTATGTTAACATTCATTGTTCTTATTAACCGCTTAAAAAGAACTCAGTAAATGTTTGTGAAAGAAATAGCTTACTCTAACGCCACATTCATTACTAATGAGTTACAATTAGTTTTATTTAGGTCATTAGTAAGACTTCATTCCTTATTTAAAATGCATACATTAATTTCTTAATGTTTAGAAAAGATCAACAATATCTGGTGGAGCACATCATGTAGCAAAACACGAGTCTCTGTTTGACCATCCCTTCAGTTGGACTTCAAAGCACAGTTTGAAGAACACTGGCACACGGACTGAAGTGAAGTAAATAATTAAAATGTAGGTACTGTATACATATTTTAGGCAGTAATATTTTGTAGAATAAGTTGTATGTCATACAAACAAGTATAGGAAGAAACAAGACTGTTATTCCAAAAGGGAAAAAAATGGCAAAAACCATTGAGAACAGTAGCCTGTAAGTTCCTGTTAGTCCAAAAAAAAGCACTGTTCATTTGATGAGTAATGAACTAGTAGTTATTAGAAATAATCCATAGCTAGTACATAATTCCCAATGAGACCAGCAATACTCAATAGTTCCTGATGAAGTAATAGAAAACTACTATAATAGTTAGTTCACTATTACCTATTGAGTAATTAAGCATAACTCCTTAATAGTTAATAGTACCAATTTAGGTGTTAATGAAGCGCTACTCCTTTGTTGCTGCTTACTTCCTGCATATTTACCTGTTAACTACGGAACAGTATTATAAAGTCAGAATTCTGACTTACTAAGTCGCAATTGCGAGATATAAAGTAGCAATTGCGAGATATAAAGTCGGAATTGTGTCTTACTAAGTCGCAAAATATGCAAGATTCCGTGGCTTATATTTTTTTTACTACCTGGCGGAAACGGGCTTCCATAATCCTGGGTGCCGAAATTGCCATCTCTACTCAACACCCCATCTCCCAGCTTTTGCTCGTGATTTGTCTTCGCTTCGCCTTTTGCTTATTGTATTTTGGGAATTACTGTTAAGACCCGTTTTGGCTTTCGACTTTCGCGCTTTTGGTTTCCGATTTGGTTTTGGTTACTCGGCTTGTATTTGTTTACCCGTGTTTTGACTATTGTCTGGTTATCGATTATATATATAGTTATCGATATGGTTATCGATTATATATATATATATATATATATATATATATATTTAAATATATATATATATATATA